TGGTGACGGTGATGGTGATAGTGGAAATGGCGATGACGATGGTGATGGTGCTGATGTGGTGGTGATGGTGACAGTGATGTTGGTAATAACATTTCCTCTCATTTATTGCCTGCTTATTCTGAGTCAGGGATTGGATTCGGTCCCTCACACTCCCATTTTCTCCTCCAAACAACACACTAGGTTGGCGCTCACATCCCCATTTTACAGAGGGGAATCTGAGGCTCCAAGAGGTTGTCATTCCTCCCACATTAAGTGTCAGCTCAAACGCCATGCCCTCACAGAGGCCCCTCCTTGTCACACACGCTGTCTCACTGCCCTGTGCGTGTGTCTCATAGCACAGGCCTATGTATAGTTACCTTGCTGTTTCGTGTACTTGGCTACATGTCCCACCAGAATGTAAATGCCACAAAGGTGTCCCTGTATCCCAGGGCCCAGAGAGTGCCCAGCAAAGAGCAGACCTCCGTGAGTACTTGTCAGTAAATGGCCACACCAGGACCAGACCCAAATAAGCCTCCCTTGTCCCTTCCCCATCGTTCATCCCATTGGAGGATGAAGCCCTTAACCCTGCTTTGCAAGGAAACCCCTCCCATCTCTCAGACGCAGACACGTGCCCTGGATTTGCACGACCTCAGTGATCAGTGGCTTCCTGGCCCTGATTAAATGTCGTGCCAGCAGCTTAACGGATCACTCCCCAGGGAAGCGACCACTTCCTCATCTCATCCCTGTGCGGCACTGGCCGCCTCGGTAGCAGCTAAGGATGCTGACCGTGCTGTGTTTGGGGCAGGGACTCCTATTCTCCACGGCGGAGATTCTGAAGAGTCCACTCGACCTTGCCCGCCTTTGGCTGCACGAAGCCGAACGAGTGTACGGTGACAAGATGGCTGATGACAAGGACCAGGAAACATTGCACAGAGTCACCATGGCTTCCACCAAGAAATTCTTTGATGTAAGTCAAGCCACCAGGTCCCTCCCGAGCCCAGAAGGGCTCCTAGAGAGTAGAGTGTCTGAGGCCAGCGATAACTCCCACCCTCCTGAAAGGGGCCTCTGCTGGGGCGGGCAGATCCACACTAGGTTCCACGCAAGGACTCCGTCACGTGGCCGTGGATCTGAGTGAGGAGGAGCTGACCCCTCCGTAGATCGGGGTGTGTGAGCTCCCCCTGTCCACTGGGTGGAGAAAGGCCCTGCTTAGCCAGCTCTCGTGCCTCGTGGTGAGCCCTGAATGTCCTTGATGGCATCGTTTCTTTGGGCAGTATTCCTGGCGTGGTGGGGACTGAACCATTCCACCAGAGGATTTTGCCCAGTGGCTTGGGCCCCTGGAGACTTGGCCTGGCATCCTGGGGACCTCACAGGCCACCTTGGCAAGGTCCTGGGCTGTTGCGAATTACCTGCGTGGTCACAGGGTGAAAGGAGCATCATCTTTTTGTTCTAGGATCTTGGTGATGAACTCCTATTTGCCAAACCAAACATCTTCAGCCACTTCACTCAGGGGATCGGCGATCCCAAATACTTTCCTGTAACCAACATGGCTCATCTGAACAAGCTGCTCGTAGACGTCCTGGATAGTTACAACGAAGTCAACGCTGTCATGAATTTGGTGAGTGTGCTCGAGCCGACAGCAAGGACAAGGGACCTGACTAGGTGCCCTCTCCTGTCTCATCACAAACATCTGCGTGGCGTTCTCCGGAGCGCATGCAGCGTGTCGAGAGTCTGTGCTGTTGACAGGAGACTCCACGTGCCATGAGGTCGAAGCGTCTCTCTGGTCCCTGCAGGTGCTGTTTGAGGACGCGGTGGCTCACATCTGCAGGATTAACCGCATCCTGGAGTTTCCCCGGGGGAACGCCCTGCTGGTGGGCGTGGGCGGCAGCGGCAAGCAGAGCCTCTCCCGCCTGGCGGCGTACATCAGCGCCCTGGACGTGTTTCAGATCACCCTCAAGAAGGGATACGGGATCCCCGACCTCAAGGTGAGAGGCCACTGTCCCACGAGCTGCCCTTCGGGGAGGGGAGGTGGAGAAAAATCGCATCGCTCCCTCTTCCAAGATGAAGCCCACCAGCACAGGGAATCTGAATGTCACCGACAGGCCTCATCCAAAGGGTTGTGTTTTTTGGGGGGAGAGGGGGGTTGTCAAATGATCCTTTATTGAAATATCTTCCTTTGTACTTTCTAACTGGCTGGGCATTCCACTGCACCACTGTCGATGGCATCTATGCTGTCACGAGGGTGGCGGCCATTGGCATTGCAGCCCACAGACGGGGAAGTCCCCAGGATCTCTTGAATGGTTCCAGAAAGTTCTCTGGCTGAAGATCAGAGCCGCATCTGGCAATATTAACAATCTCATCAAAAGTGTTATTTCCGTTGTGTTTAATGTTTTACTGTTTCTTGGTGGTTCCTTGAGGGCTGTGACGATCAGGGCAGAGGCAGAAGGTGCCACTTCAGTCTGGGCCTGTCAGTTCTGAATAGTTGGCTTCACTACAGTGAAACCTCAGACCCTTCCGGTCACTGGTTGCCTTGGCGATGTCATCACCAACTTTTCTGGAGACAGACCCAGGGGGCCGATCTCAGGGGCCAGGGCAGACGTGGCACTGACTTCGCCTCCGGTGCCCCTCAGGTACACGACTTTTATCTCCTTGGGGTCCAACTTAGGCGGCACGGTGGAGGCGCGGTTGGTGTCGGTGAACCCGGACAGGGGATGGCCGAAGAAAGTTGCACCTTGGCCTCCTCTGAGCCGAAAACCGAAAAGCATCTAAAGGGTTTTATCTTAGAAAGTAGAGACCAGGGGACCTTTGGGCCAGTGCACATGCCCAGGTGGCTAAGGTGAAATGTGTGTGTCTTGATTATTCGATGGCTTTGAGTCCAGAGAGTCAACACGGATCATGAAGGCAAAGGGACCAGATTCCCACTCTCGGTCACTGGACACTCTGAATTGTCCCCGGTCCTCCTGGTGAAAGACCTCAGAGCCATTCCCAGGTGTCCAGTGCATGCCTGAGATTCCGGACAGCTGCATTTTGAGTTAATTAAATAAACGTCGGTGCAGGCAGGTCTCCCATGCTCAAGGCGCACGTGCTTCTGAGGCTTTTTATTGATTTCTTGTTCCTGAAAATTTGCTCTCCCAGGGAACTGTGTGCTAGTCAAACACTATTAGCCCAAAACAAATCATCGCAGCGCTTGAGATTAGCCCTGCGTTGACTGGACCGTGCTGCACAGCGCTGTCTCTCTGTCCGTGCTGGGGCCGCTTCTCTGGGGCTGGGACGATGCCAGGCCCAGGAGCAGCCCTAAGCGGACTGTCCCGGCAGCACACGGCCCCGAGGGAGGCAGTCGCTGGCCAAGTGGCTTTCTCAGGCAGATCTGGAGCCCTGTCGGAGCTCAACCCCCTGGCTGCGGGGCTGGGGTCTGCTGGCAGGGACAGCACAGACTGTGCCAGGGACAGCCAACCTCTGGGACAGCCTCTGCATCTGGTTATCACTGTTCTCGACCTCCCCAGTGGATTCTACTGTTCATGTAAAGGGACTAGCAGCCTCTCTGTTAAATCCTAGCGTTGAGGGGAAGGTGGGCCTGAGAGAGGTACTCCCAGCGGCTGCCATCCCAACTGCGGCAGCGGAGGGCCGTCTCGGCGGTTCTCGGGTTATCTTGTGGGGTCAGTCTATGCCGATTGCCCCACGTCCACTCGGGTGTCATTCACTGTGGCGCTGCCTAGTTTGCAGTAAGTGAGTTGCATTGGTCTGTGTTCACAGTTGCGCCTTTTCTTCGCTCTGTCTCCTCGTGAGGGCTTGTCCCTGACCCCAACGTGAGGCCTGACCATGGGCCCTGGAGATTCATCCCCCACCCCTGTCGCAAAGCAGCTTTGAGCCAGTGCTTGGTCATCATTTATTAAGTAGCTTCTGTGGATTTGGAACTACGGGCCGAGATAAACGGGGTTGGCGGTCCTCGTCTCACCGAGGCAACCGGATGCCGAACGGTTTCGTGCTGCTGTTGTTCTCGTAAAGGTGTCACAGCGCGAGGCCAACCTCACACCCCGACCCATGCCCTCGTACCCCTCCAAATCCCGGCTCTGTGTTTCTTCCTCTTTGTCGGCAGTGACAGTGGCTACAGCCAGGAGAAGTGCCACTGAGTGTGTTGTGGCCAAAGAACGGAGACATGTGTCCCCATTAACACTGGTCCCCAGCCATGCCTCGATACAGGTGGCAGTTACCCTCCACGTGGCTGAGTAGTCAGCAATAGCCATGGGCCCTTAGCCATGTCGGGGGTAGTGGGGGACCCCCGGAGGAGATGGCCAATGCACAGCCAGACACGTGGGGTTCAGAAGTGCAGGAACAGGGTGGGAGTGGAGGAGGCTGGGCCAGGGAGGAGTGGGGAGGGCAAGGTGGAGGCCGCCAGGACCCCTGGGCAGCCCAGCGGCCAGGTGGGCAGGGCCAGGTGGGCAGGGCCAGGGCCGCTCCCTTGGGACAGTCAGGTGGGAGCAGGCTCCAAGGCGGTGGGGTTGGCCACAGGTCAAGGCTGCAGAGGTCCCAGGCAGGACGCAGCTGAGAAGAGGCCCTGTGGTCCTGGAGACCACAGAGAAAACCTTGGAGAGAGCCAGAGGGTCAGAGTGAAAGGGAGGCCGGGAGAGGGTGCCGCAAACGCCGGCCCCTCCGCAGGAGAAGGGCAGGCAGGACCAGCAAGGGTGCTTTTCCTCAAGTGGAGCCACTGAGCTCCGTTCCTCGCCGCGTGGCCCCAACCTGCTGCCCCGACGTGGATCTGCAGCAGTGAGCCGGGCTCTCCCTGGGCAGGACCCCTGGCTCCGCAGCCTAACCCAGTTCACAGCCCGAGCTTGCTGGAACTTATGGCTTTTCTGTGGGATCGTTGCAGCGCATGGGAGGGAAGCCCTGCCCGGTTCTCCTGGCCGTGCGGGTAGGCGGGGCCCCACTGCCAGCTGCTGACTTCTGGCCATCCAACCTGCTAGAGAAGGCAGCGCTGTCCTTCCTGCCTCCGTAGAGGGAGACTGGGTTAGACACGGGTCACCGCACCTGGGGCCTCTGCTCTTCCAGGCTGAGCTCCCCCTCGCTTTTTCAGCTTATCAAAAAATACCAAATCTGAGGCTTTGGACCCTCAGTCAACTCCAAAACAGGGTCATTGGTGATGTTTCTCCCCAAACACAGGGACTTCAGGGAGTCGGCCTTGCTTCCAGAGGATAGACCTACGCCATTTGGGGTATCTGTAGCGAATTTTTTTGTTTCCTCTGAGACAGAGTCTCACTTTGTTGCCTGGGCTAGAGTGCCATGGCGTTGGCCTAGCTCACAGCAACCTCAAACTCCTGGGCTCAAGTGATCCTCCTGCCTCAGCCTCCTGAGTAGCTGGGACTACAGGCATGCGCCACCATGCCTGGCTAATTTTTTCTATATATTTTTAGTTATCCGATTAATTTCTTTCTATTTTTAGTAGAGACGGGGTCTCGCTCTTGCTCAGGCTGGTCTCGAACTCCTGAGCTCAAACGATCCACCCACCTTGGCCACCAAGAGTGCTAGGATTACAGGAGTGAGCCACGGTGCCTGGCACCATATAGTGAACATTTTTTAAAGCCTTTTAAGTCTGGGCACAGTGGCTCACACCTGTAATCCTACAGGCCCACACAACAGAGCGAGACTGTCTCCAAAAAAGAAAAAAAAAAGCCTTTTAAATAAGTACAGAAGCCCACAGGTCTTATTTTAAAAATTAGATACTATAGACAGGCAAATCACCGAAACCCTGGAAATTCACATTAATGCTTGGACAACCCTGGCAGACGTTTCTTAACGTGTATACACAGGTAAACTTGGTGTATTTCTCAAAATAGCAGCTGTTCATGCTGCTCTGGAACATGGGGTTTTCCACTCCATTTTTTTCTTCCAGAATTGCTAGAAGACCGTTTTGTCCAGTCACATTTAGACCCTACTAGGAGCGTGACGGGAGCTCTGCGCGCGAGCCAGCGGCTCTGCGGAGAACCCGCGTCTTCCCAGGGCTGGGCTTCCCGACCCGAGCCTGTGCTGTGTCCATTCAGGGCCTCTCCCGGGGTTTCCATTTAAGGGTTTTCTTTCCCTTTCTTGTGTGTGCAGTGAAATATACCTGACATGAAATTCACTGTCGCAGCCATTGTTAATGGCGGGTGAGTGGCACTCGGCACATTCACACTGCTGTGCAGCCATCACCTCCATCCGTCTCCAGAACTTTCTCTCTTCCCCAGCTGAAACTCTGTCCCCACGGAACAACCCCCTCTCCCCCACCAGCCCCTGGCACCCCCGTTCTACCCTCCGTCTCTGTGAGTGTGACCGCCCTGGTGTAAGAGGAATCACGCAGTACTTGTCTTTCTGCGACTGGCTTCTTTCCTCTTGCGTAAGGTCTTCAAGGTTCACCCACGTGTGGCATGTGTCAGCATCTCCTTCCTTTTTAAAGCCAAATGACACTCCACTGTGTGGACGGGCCACGTTTTCTGTGTCCCTTCATCCATCGGAGACACCTGGGCTGTCCTGGCTGCTCCACTCAAGGTCTCGGGTCTCCCCCCGCAGACCCTGCGCGTTCCTCACGAAGCTGAGCCTGGGTGTCCACTCCGGGTGGTCACGGAGGAGGCCTCTGAGCGGGCGTCTTCTTGCCAAGTCCCTGAGCGTGTCCTTGTTCGGCCCAGGTTGACCTCGCCGCTCAGTACATAAAGTCCGCCGTGAAGAACGTGCCCTCCGTGTTCCTGATGACAGACTCTCAGGTGGCCGAGGAGCAGTTTCTGGTGCTGATCAACGACCTGTTGGCCTCAGGCGAGATCCCCGGGCTGTTCTCGGAGGACGAGCTGGAGAACATCATCTCCTCCATGCGCCCGCAGGTCAAGTCCCTCGGCTTGACCGACACCCGGGAAGCATGTTGGAAATTCTTCATTGAAAAAGTGCGCCGACAGCTCAAGGTAGGACTCCCGATGGCGGGGTGGCAGGAGCCCAGCACGGCGCCCACCGCCCACGGCGCTCAGGTCTTTACTCTGTGTGGGGTCAGGGGACTGTCCCTCACTGGACATGGAAACCTGGGGTGGGGGAAGGGCTGCCTGAGGAACTGCAGCCTGGAGGTTATTTCACCTGGGCCGTTGGAGCTATCGAGGGGCTGAAGTGTCTTATGGTTGTCCTGTGTCTGTGGATGGGGAGGGTCGACTCCAGGACCCTTCGGACACCAAAACCTGCAGATGTCCAAGTCTCTGATACAAACTGCTGTAGTGTTTGCATATAACCCGCGCATATCTTCCCATATGCTTTAAATCATCTTAGATTACTTTAATGCCTAAGGCACTGTAAATGCTATGTAAATAGCAGTTAGATTGTATTTTTCGTTTGTGTTATCTGTTATCATTGTACTGTTATTTTGGGTGGTGGTGGTTTCTTTCCAAATGTTCTCATTCTGCAGTGGGTGGAATCTGCAGATGCGGAGCCCTCGGATACAGAGGCCAAGTGCGTTAACCTCTAGGGAGGGTTGGCTGAACAGCCCTTGCAAGACGAGGGCACCTTGGATCCGTAGGCTCCTCCTCTCCAGAGTCCAGAGTTGAGTGAGGGCGGCTGCCCGGTGGCACTGCTCCTGGGGAGGGGCCGTCCCAGAGCCCCCCAGGCACCTGCTGCTCATCACTTTTCCCCGGCATGAGTCAAACAAAGCAGGTGTCCTCTGTGTCTCCCCACTCTGGGTTGCACGGTCCAAACAGTGAATGTTATTTTTGGGACTAAAGGTGTCCCCTGATGGGTGCTGCCTGCTCCCAGCTCTTCTGCGGCACCGTCATGCCGGCACCGGGGCTGTCCCGGCACCCTCACATCTCCAGTGAGAGCTGCAGAGTCAGCTGAGCACCGAGCCGTGCCCATCAATGGCCACTTCCAGCAAACCACCCACTGTACCATGAGAAGGGACCAGAGAACAAGGACAGGGCGGGAGGCTGAGGCTCTATGAGAAAGGTGGTCCCAGTCCAGCAAGAGAGACCCCAGGGCGGCACCTTCTCCAGCCAGGGTCCCAGGGAGTCCCCAGGCTGTCTGGGAATTAGCTATTGCTTTGGGGCTTGGAGGAGGCCCCTTGCCTCTGGGGACAATTCCTGTGGAACCTGGAAAAGACTCCCTGTCCTGGGGCCTCACCTGCCCAATGCGGATGCCCATTCCCCACTCCTTCCCTCGCCTAGCCTGTGTAAAGAGGCAGGGGCCACCTCAGGAGGGATTGGGGCTCTCCCCACCTCCGCACCTCAGAGCCCTGGTGAGGGTCGTGAGGTCAGGTGAGCACACGTCCCCTGGCATGCTAGGACCGCTCTTCCGGCCCAGAGTCAGGGTGAGCTCCTCAGACGTTTGGAGGCGGAGCCCTGCAGAGCAGGTCGCTTCCCAGATGAGCTTTCTCGTGACAGATTTGGCTCAGCTCTGCCATCCCCTGTAACCGCCCATCTGTGCCCCACACTAGGTGATTCTGTGTTTCTCCCCCGTGGGCTCTGTTCTGCGCGTGCGAGCGAGGAAGTTCCCCGCGGTGGTTAACTGCACGGCCATCAACTGGTTCCACGAGTGGCCAGAAGACGCCCTGGTGTCCGTCAGCGCTCGCTTCCTACAGGACACGGAGGGAATTCAGGTGAGTCTCCAAGGCTGCGTCTGCTGGAGCCCACGGAGCCCAGAGGACAGGGACAGGCCACTGTCCGCTTGGGGATGAGGACACTGAGACTAGGGAGAGCCGAGTGAGGCAGATGCCTTGGGTGCCACATTTAAGGGGCACCAAAAACCCCAGGAACCATGAGAAGTGACGTTTTAACGTGATATTTTTAAAAATCAAAACTAAATGCTAACAAAACTCGACTAACAAAATATAAAATGGTGAACAGAGAAAGGCAATTGTCTTTCTATTCCTCGGCACTGCCACGCTATGCCACGGGAAGGGTGGTTTCCACTGAGCCCTCCCCTGCCCTGCGTGGCTGAGGCCGCCCAGGCCTGTTCAGAAGGGTAGACAACGAATGGCTTTGGACAGATTGGACTCAGGTCCCAGCATCGATTGGAGAGCCCTTTTCACTGTGACAAGTGTACACAGGGGCACACACGGTTGCCTAGAGCCTCGGGCTGTAACGTGACTCTGCCCGGCCCTTTTCGAGGGATGACAAGTCTGACATCCTGCGGTGTCTTTTTTCACTGGAAGATGGTGCCATGTTCAGATGAGCTAATTGCCCACCTGGCAATGATCACCAGCCCCGCCCCGCTCTGTCTGAGTCAGTGCAAATGCCGGCAGCCCACGCTCAGCCACGCCTCCCACCGCATCTTACCCTGAATGCTCAGCCACGCCTCCCACCGCATCTTACCCTGAATGCACGTTCCGTTACGAAGTAGGATAGAATAAACTGGAAATTAGCCTTTTCCCCTAGTTTTTAAAGATGGGGAAAAGAGCCTGCTTGTCGCCGGAGCGTTCACTTATGAGATAGGCTGTTCCCGGTAGCCCTGCAGTTCAGAGGGCCCCCCCGGGTGCAGGTTTGGGCTTTCAGGGGCTTCCTAGGAGCGGGGACCAGCCCCACAGCCAGCACCGTGAGGGCCGCTGCGGACGTGCTGAAGTGTGTGGTGGATGGATTAGTCAGTTTCCAAAGTATCCTGAATTGAAATTAATGTCACTTGGACAATTTCTGGGGCAAAACACCCAGTGCCCAGGGGGGGCTAGAAAAGAGGTGCTAAGTCCCAGGACCCGACATAGGAAACTCACAGTAAAAGTTGGCCGAATTACCCAGGGCATGACAACATTCCCAGCCCTGTGCTTTCCCAGGCACGCAAGTGTGCGAGTGAGCGTGTGCATATGCACACGTGTGCGCACCAGAGGGAGATGGTGATGAGAAGCTCTGCCGTGTCCCAGGCGCTGAGCTAAACCCTGCTGTGCACGAAGCCCACGACAGCCTGGGCAGGCACTGGGGCTCCCGAGCCTCTTTTGACAGTCGAGAGGCCACGGAACAGCTCATCCAGGGTCCCGGGCAAGTCTGGGAAGGCCCACCTCGCTGTGGCCGGCAGCAGCCTCCCCGTCCCCCGAGCCCCTGGGAAAGCCAGGCCAGGACCCTGGCAGGAAAGGGTCAGGCAGGATGGGGTCCCGGGACAACGGGTCGTCTCACCTTTGCAGCCAGAAGTCAAGGCTTCCATCAGCCTCTTCATGTCCTACGTGCACACCACCGTCAACGAGATGTCCAAGGTGTACCTGGCTACCGAGAGGCGCTACAACTACACCACGCCCAAAACCTTCCTGGAGCAGATCAAACTGTACCAGAACCTGCTGGCCAAGAAGAGGGCGGAGCTGGTTGCCAAAATCGAGCGTCTGGAGAACGGGCTGATGAAGCTGCAGAGCACGGCCTCCCAGGTAGGGGACCGTCGCCCACCTGTGCAGCGCCGCGGCTGTCACGGGCTTCTCTGGGGGGTGGTCGTATGTGGGGCTAGCGCTACCTGAAGTAAGGTGAGCGTGATTCCTGCCTTCGAGCAACGTGCGCTCCTAGGCCGGACGGAGCTGGCATGCCTGCCCTGACATGTTTAAAGTAAACGGGCCTGGCTTTCACGTGTTTCACGTGGTGACAGTGCCACGCCCTGCCCCGGTGAGACCTGGTTCTCGAGTTCAACGCGGTCGGTGAAAGCGCATCCGTTCTTAAATGCCGTTCACACCGCGGTGCCGGCTCAGAAAGCTTCCTCCGTCCTTTCTTTCACACCGTATTGAGTTTTAAGCGTTCTGCCTGGCCTGGCCTTAAATATCCTCCGGGATGCAGTCCCGGCTTCTTCTTCTTGGGAGCCCGGTAAATAGCCGCCTCCTCCCTGCCCGACTTGCGAACAAGCTGGGGTCTCGCACTCGCTTCTGGGGGGGCCTTTGGACCCCACCCCAAAGCTTTCCCTGTCACTCTCCTAGCAGCCCAAGCGCCCCTCGGCCTCCCTGACTCCTCAACGCCATGACTCAGTTGGCATTTTTCCGTCCAGCCACCTGCACTGCCAACCCTTCGAGTGCCGGGAATGTGTCTGATGCTCGTGGCCCTGTGTGCACCGTGGGCGCCCAGTAAACGCTTCCCTCAGAGATACTGAAAACGCTCCTCAAAGCCACCTGCCGTCCCGCCCAGCCCCTGGGCTCTCCGCCCAGTGGAGGGTGGTGTGTCGGCAGCGGCCCCAGCTTGCCCGTCCCTTGGCCTCTCCGTCTCCAGGTGGACGATCTAAAAGCCAAGCTGGCGATCCAGGAGGCCGAGCTCAAGCAGAAGAACGAGAACGCAGATAAGCTGATCCAGGTGGTCGGCGTGGAGACCGAGAAGGTCAGCAAAGAGAAAGCGATCGCCGACGAGGAGGAGGTGAAGGTCGAGGTGATCAACAAGGTAGGTGAAGGCTGCCGCCCTGCCCTGCCTGCCTGCCTGGCCTCCCGCAGGCCTGGGCAAGGCCGAGACCTCCACACAAGGGTGAGTTTCCCAAACCAGCGGGACGCTGGAAAGAGGGCGTCTCTCCCGGGTGTAGGGCCCCAGCTCAGAGCTGGCTCTGCTCGGAGAAGCGCCCACCCCTGCAGCCGAGCTCCTGGAAGTGCAGCCCCCCAGGCCACAGTGGCGGCTTCAGGGGGAACACGTAATGAATGCAGGTTCTCGGGCTCCAGCCAGCTCTGCTCAACGGGGCCGCTTTTTAACAAGATGCCAGTGTCTGCGAGCACGTGAGGGGTTGAGAAGACCCCCTGGAGCCCTGGTCCTCAGACTCGCTGCTCCGGGACCCGCAGAGGGCAGGACGTCACTGGCCAGGGGGGATGCTCATTGGTTTTGCTAGGTGACCAAGGCCGAGAAGTGCCACTTGGGGGGAACATCTTCATCACTTTTGGACCCGATTGCTTAAATTCAGAATGCGTGGCAATTAACTGCTATCTCTTGAATGAGTAAATGAACTGGCGCGTGAATGAAAATGCTCTCACTTCCTTAAGGGGAGGATGGGCTATACTCTCTGAAATGTACCATTTGGGGGGGATTATGCGATGGTCCCAGAGCCAGTAAGATCTCCAGGCCGCGGATGGTCTGGGCAGCCCCTGGACTGGAAGCTCCAGCCAACAGGAGGAAGAGGAGGGGCAGGGCAGAGGGGCGGGAGAGAGGCTGCTCCGGACAGTGGCCAGCCGGGCTCACACAGAGCTGTCGGGAGGGGCACGCCAGCAAGTGCGGCAGACGCATGGCAGTAGGAGGCGCAGCCTCTTCCTCGGAACTCAGACCCGCTGGGGCCTGGGCTGCCGGTGGGGACACATGCCCACCCCCTCCACGCCCCCTCGCTGCTGCCCCTACACATACACACGGCCCCCTGCCCGGCTTCCCTTCCAGAACGTCACTGAGAAACAAAAAGCTTGTGAGACAGACCTGGCCAAGGCAGAACCGGCCCTGCTGGCCGCGCAGGAAGCGCTCGATACTCTCAATAAGGTAAAGAGGGAACGGAAGAAAAGGGGACACCACCCCCACCAAGCAGAGAGGACACGGCCTCAGCAGTCGCCGTATAAGGGGTGACTCGCCCACGGCGGCTTTCTCAGGGTCATCGCCGAGGGCCCAGCCTAACCCACCCCACCTGCTGTTCGCAGAACAACCTGACAGAGCTGAAGTCCTTCGGGTCCCCCCCAGATGCCGTGGTCAATGTCACGGCCGCCGTCATGATCCTCACGGCGCCGGGGGGCAAGATCCCCAAGGACAAGAGCTGGAAGGCTGCGAAGATCATGATGGGCAAAGTGGACGCCTTCCTGGACTCCCTGAAGAGGTTCGACAAGGAGCACATCCCCGAGGCCTGCCTGAAGGCGTTCAAGTGAGTCGCGCGGCCGCGCCTCGTGGGGCTCCAAGTCCTCCCACGTCAGGCGCCACATAGTCCGGAATCTTCTCCCGCAGCGCCCAGCCCCTAGATGTGTGCTTGCCAGGGCGGGGGCGGGGTCTTGGGCCGCTTGGAGGAAAGTGGAGGGTGGGCGACCTTCTGAGCAAATCTGGCCGTACCTGGTGGCGTGGGCTGGCCCGGACTCCCGCGGCCTGGGCTGAAAACTTCGGCAGCCCCTCCCCACACCGCACCTGGGGCCAAGCACACAGCTGTACGCACAGCAGACTGCACGGCAGCAGGACACCCTCCGGACACAGGTCCTTGAGCGAGGCCAGCTGGGCCCCCACACACGCATGCCACACACATACACGTGTACGCATAGATGCGATGTGTGTGCGTGCATGTGTACACGTACGGAGAGTGCATGCACGCGCACACATACACATGTATGCATGCATATACACACACATGCACACACACAGCAAGCCTCGGGCGTGCATCTTTCCTTCCTTCCACTGGACCGACTGCAAAGGTCCCATATCTGGAAGAACGCCCCCCACTGGGCTGGCAGGGCTCCCTCTGGGGCGGGCCGTGGCACTTGGGAAGGGTGTCACAGGGACTCCACTTTTTACCCATAAATGTCCACTCTGAAAGTGCTCCAGGCCCATTCCCCCCCATGGGGCTCCCTGGCAGCCCAATTTCAGGGTCCCCGACCCTGACTGAGGAAGAGGGCCACACCCCCGAGCCCAGCAACCAAAGCTGGGGCCCCATAGCTCCCAGCTCTGCCAGGGAGCAGGAGGGTCGGACACTGAAAATACCTGGCAAATGCGGACTAGTGCGGGGTGCAAGGGAAAAGCAGGACCGCGCTGCAGGCCGCCTCCAGGGCGTGGCACTGTCAACCTTTGGTGTATTTCTTTTCAGTCTGTTTCTAAAGTTGTTTTTCATTGTTGAAATAATACTGTACATACACAATTATTTGTTCTGCTTTTACTTTTCACTTAACATTGGTGACAGGAACCACTTTTCCCTATGTTATCAACACACTTCATAGGCTCGATTTAACTGTTGCACAATCTCGCCGTAGATGAATCCAACTCTTCCTGCTTTGTTGACCATTTAGGCTGGTTCCATTTGCTATTATAAACGACACCTCGATGAATGTCTTCTCCTTGTCACCCTGCAAACGTCTGGGCTGCCGCCATCCCACACCGTTTGGTGTGTGTTCAAAGGACGCAAACTCATTTTCATATTAGATCAAACAAAGCGTAATGTAGACCAGAGTGAGAAACCACAGGCTGTATTCCCAGCCTAAATTGAAATTGCTTTTCAATTAATACCTTGAATTACCCATTCAAATTTCTTTCTGTGAATAGTTCCACTAGTTATATTTAATGATGTCGTCATCGTTTTTAAAATACTAGTTTCCAAAGGGTCTAAACTACACCGATGGGCATTCTTCTTGGTCATTGTAACATTCCCCCCCAGAGTAACACCTGCTACGTCATCTCTTATACGTCTTGTCCCTGTAACCTTATCATTTCAGTCTCCTGGTGCCCATCTTAGGAAATCGGGCAATGCCACCTGGGGCAGTGGGAGTGACAGAGTAGAGCTGTGCCACCTTGGGTGAGACGCTCAGCCTCTCTGGGCGCGTTTCCTCAGAATAAGGCGGGTGACTCTGACTATCTGGTGTTCTCCTGCCAGGCCTTACCAAGGCAATCCAACGTTTGACCCCGAGTTCATTCGCTCCAAGTCCACGGCGGCCGCGGGGCTGTGCTCCTGGTGCATCAACATCGTGCGTTTCTACGAGGTCTACTGTGACGTGGCCCCCAAGAGGCAGGCCCTGGAGGAGGCTAATGCAGAACTGGCCGAGGCACAAGAGAAGCTGTCCCGGATCAAAAACAAGATTGCCGTAAGTGCTGGCTCGCTCGCGTCCCTGTGAAACACCAAAGCCACTTGCTCACGCTGCCGATCAATATCCCTGTTTAAAAGGGGCTGGCACGGCCGCTGCCATGAATCATCAAGCAGCACGGAGGACACAGGCGAGGGAGGGGCCGGGTCATGCCGGGGGCCACTTGGCCTCCGTGGCCCTCATGCTCCAGGCGCTCCTGCCTTTGTGGGAGCCCCTCACAGGGCCCGGCCCTGCCGTGCTCCCAGGGGTGCTGGGAGTGCCTAGCGCTGCTGTCCCAGGACCTTTCCAACTTGTTCCTCCAGGAACTCAATGCCAACCTGAGCAACCTGACCTCAGCCTTTGAGAAAGCAACAGCTGAGAAAATCAAGTGTCAGCAGGAGGCCGACGCCACAAACAGGGTGATCTCGCTGGCTAACAGGTAGCAGCTCCTCCCACGCCCTCCCTCCTGCCTCTCAGTCCCCTGAAAGGCACAAGCCCACGCTGCAGCCTTTGTAGGAACAGGAAGGAGCCACGTTGCAGCTTTCACTTTTTGGGCTCAAACCTCGTCCTCCTACGCATTCAGCGACCTTCAGGAAACGTGACCTGTTGCAGTACAGGATTCCGAATAACCCAGACCTGCCTGGGACACTGTGTCCCAGGGGCTTGCCGCAGTGCAGCACTTCGAGAGAACCCACTGTCACCCACGACGTGGCGTGGGGTGCGGGCTCCCAGGGTCACTGCACGGCCAGCGTACACCCACTTTACAGTTTCCATCACGGGTTGGGGGTCTAGGGCAGCGCTGCCTGCTAGGAAGAGATTGTGGGCTGCATCTGTCATTTGAACTTTTCCAGTAGCCACATTAGAAAAGAACAAAGAAACAGGTGAAATTAATGTTTACCATATATTTTAACCCCAGATAGCCAAAATATTATCATTTCAACATATAATCAATATTAAAACTACCAGTCAGATATTTCACGTGCTCACTCTCATCCTGAGCCCTCGAGACCCCACGTGTATTTTACACGCAGACCCCATCTCGGTGCAGACCGGCCGCGAGCTCAGGAGTCGTGGGGGGCTTGAGGCCGCCACACCGGGCAGCACGGCTTCAGAGGCCCCCTCTCTCGTTCCCGCGAGCGAGCACCGGGGGCCTCAGCAGGGCGAGGCGTGGGGTCGGTTCCGGGGCCCGGCTTGCAGTATTTTCTCCTCCCCGTGGCTGGCCACCCTGACTGGCCGGTGGTCAGTGGGACAGGGGACCCCCAGGAGAGGCCCAGGCTGCCTGAGTCTGGCCTCCAGGCTGGTGTAGATGTCCCCCCGCCGTGGGCCTGACCTCGCCTGCCAAGAAAAGCAAAGTGGTCTCTAGGTCACTGGGAAGTAAGGGCTGCTCAGATGGCCACAGACAGACCTCAGTGGGCCTAACTGGGCAAGCTGGACGTTCCACGAATATGTCAACACTTTGAGGTTCACAGTGTGCCATGTGGGGTCAGGGATGGCCCTCAGGCTGGTGGCCTGAAAAGCACAATGCACGCCCTGAAGTCCCCACTCCACGCAGGGCCAGGTCCCCTCTGCATGCCATATTGTCCTGTGGCCACCACGATCCCCTCCTGGGCTCTGCCACCTGCTGGTCGATGCACGTGCTTGGTGACGTCCAGGCAGCATCACCAGCGTGGGGAGAAATGATCAAATAACATCAGTGTAGACGGGTATCATCGACACGGGCACAGACGACTTGGGGAAGGGAAAGACGGTGTTCCCAGGGGCCTCCGAAAAGCATCGTTTTGTCTCCCCAAAACTCCCAAAAGCATTTTCATCATCGAGCCACCAAGCCAAGTACAGATTTGAAACTCTGAAGATTCAGACATTTAAATGTGGAGGACTGGTCTTGTCTGACCCTCTCGCTTGGGCAAATGCGTTTTATTTTCTCCTGTTCCCGTTCCAGGCTGGTGGGGGGACTGGCCTCGGAGAACGTGCGTTGGGCTGAGTCAGTGGAGAACTACAAAAAGCAGGGGGTCACGCTGTGCGGGGACGTCCTGCTCATCTCCGCCTTCGTCTCCTACGTGGGCTACTTCACCAAGAGATACCGCAACGAGCTGATAGAGAAATTTTGGATTCCTTACGTCAGTCACTTAAAGGTAAGAGGTGCAGTCCTGTTCACCACGTGGGAAATCTGGGGCTGAGGCTCCGGCCCAGTCGGGGCTTAGAACGTGGCCCAGCGTTGCCGACGCTGGCGTCCCTGCCAGCCGAGTTACAAGCGGCTCCGTCCAGAGCGAGGCAAATGGCCGTCTCCACCCAGATCACCCGGCTGGTCCCGAGTCTGAGTGCGGCCGAACCGCAGCGGTATTTGGACGGCTGCTTTCCACTGCATAGTGAGGTCGTATCACCCCTCCTGAGAAAGAGTGCCCTCCCTTGGCAGGTCCCCATCCCCATCACGGAAGGCCTAGATCCCTTGAGCCTGCTGACGGATGACGCGGACGTGGCCACCTGGAACAACCAGGGCCTCCCCAGCGACCGCATGTCCACTGAGAACGCCACCATCCTGTGCAACACAGAGCGCTGGCCCCTGATCGTGGACGCCCAGCTTCAAGGAATCAAGTGGATCAAAAACAAATATGGGAGTGAACTGAAAGCCATCCGCCTGGGCCAGAAGAGGTGTGTGAGGGAGGCAGAACCGGGCTCAAGGCAGCCACTGGGCCCCCTGGGCTTGGAAACGCCCCGGGGCCCTTCACAAATGCAAGCACTAGCCCGCAGGTTTAGTATTCGGCCCTGGGGAACAGCACAGTAGTAGAGAGTTAAACTCGGGGTTCTCCCCCTGCACCCGTCACCTGCTCTCCTGCAGGGAAGGACCAGGCCCAGGCTCACCGCCTGGGTTTGCGTCCTGTCTGGCACTTGCTGGCCGTTTCCCTGGTCCGTGTGGTTTGTTTTCTCATCACACGTGAGAAACGGTGGCTGGAAAATCAGCTGCAACGCGGAGGCGGAAGTGTTGCCTCTGCAGCCGCGAAGCTGCTCAGAGCGGCTCCGTTCTCACCGCCGCGCCCGGCAGACCTCGGGTGGCTCCCAAAGCCCGTCAGCTCCTGTCAGGAAAGGATGAGCTGTTGTAGCAACGAGCCTAGGGCTGCTAAGGCACCTCCCTCTGGCACCCCCTCGCTTGGGGGCCAAGGCTGCCCGTCGGGTGTGCTGTCGTCACTGGGCCCTCTCGTTGAGTGGCTCCGTGCTGTGCCTGCAGCTACCTGGACATCATCGAGCAGGCCATTTCAGAAGGGGACACCTTGCTCATCGAGAACATTGGGGAAACCGTGGACCCCGTGCTGGATCCTTTACTGGGCAGGAACACAATCAAAAAGGGAAGGTGAGGAGTTGTCTCCACCTCCGTGGTTTAATCCGGGTGAACACCTTCCCCGGTGAGCATCAGCCTTAGCAAAGTGCTGCCAGGTGTGGACAGGCTGGGACAGGGGGCCGGGCCCTGCCAGGAATACACCAGCGTTTTACTAGCGGTCACCTCCAGAGGGCAGTCCTTAATGGTGACATTTTTCTTCTTTCTGTTCTTACGCATTTTGCAAATCTTGGTACTATATTACCTTTTTAAAATTCAGGTGAAATTCCCATAGCATAAAATTGAGCGCGTTACGGCGTTCCACGCAGGAGCCTTTAGTACACTCAGTGTCGTGCAGCTGTCACCTCTGTCTAGTTCCACAGCGTTGTCTCCACCCCAAAAGGAGACCCCACCCCATTCAGCATCACTCTTCACACCCCTCCCTCCCGGGCCCCTGGCAACCACTGATCTACTTTCTGCCATGGATTTGCCTGTTCTGGACGTCTCATGTAAGTAGAATCACGAAACACGTGCCTTTTGGTGTCTGGCTCTTCTGACTTTGCACACAGGTTTTGTGGTTCGTGCATGTGGTAGGTAGCACACGTCAGCACTTCACTCTTACGGCAGAATGATGTTCCGTTGTATGGATGCACCACACTTTGTTTCTTGTCAGCTGATTCGCTGAGCTTGTTTTACTTTTATCATATAAAAACGGTTAAACCAACTTTAAAAACGTAAATGTCGGCCGGGCGCGGTGGCTCACGCCTGTAATCCTAGCTCTCTGGGAGGCAGAGGCGGGCGGATTGTTTGAGCTCAGGAGTTCGAGACCAGCCTGAGCAAGAGCGAGACCCCATCTCTTCTAAAAAAAAAAAAATAGAAAGAAATTATCTGGACAACTAAAAATATATAGAAAAAATTAGCCGGGCATGGTGGCGCATGCCTGTAGTCCCAGCTACTCAGGAGGCTAAGGCAGGAGGATTGCATGAGCCCAGGAGTTTGAGGTCGCTGTGAGCTAGGCTGACGCCACGGCACTCACTCTAGCCAGGGCAACCGACTGAGACTCTGGCTCAAAAATAAAACGTAAATGTCAGAATTGACAGGAGCCACTTTTAAATGCAGAGGGGGGTGCAGGGACCCAGCGCAGAGGTGGCGAGTGAGTCTGCTGACGTCCTAGACCCTGAGCAGGGCGTGGAATGAGTGTGGGTGGCCAGGGGTGGGGCCAGATAGGAGCCCCCAAAGTGAGCCCAACCAGAAAAAGGGGAGAGCAGAGCCGGGAGCCAGAGAGAAGTGACACCCCATGCGGATTAGCAGACCCGGCTTCCAGCCTGGGGAATTTCCAGAAGGGACTGGTGTCGTGAGGATTTCTGCCAAGGCTCCGGGTGAGCTCAGTGTGCAGCAGAGGTGAGCAAACACTACTGCGAAGATCAGACCAAACTACCCAGAGGGAGCAATGATGCATCTTCTAGAAGGGCCCGCATCCCAGGCCAGAGAGGAGGGACGGACGAGGAGACCCACAGTGCTCTTCCAGCGACCAGGGGCTTCGAGGCAGCAGCCCGGCCTGGGGGCGGCCCTGAGCTGGGGTGAAGGTGGCCGTGCTGTGCGGCTGTCACTGGGTCAGCAGAGCCCCGTGACCCTTCCCCCCGCCATGCAGGTTCATCAAGATTGGCGACAAGGAGGTGGAGTACCACCACAACTTCCGCCTGATCCTGCACACCAAGTACTTCAACCCACACTACAAGCCGGAGATGCAGGCGCAGTGCACCCTCATCAACTTCCTGGTCACCAGGGACGGCCTCGAGGACCAGCTCTTGGCCGCTGTGGTGGCCAAAGAGCGCCCAGATCTAGAACAGCTGAAGGTAACAGTGTCGCGTCACCCAGGAGGTAGGCGCTGGCGGGGCAGAGGAGGCCGGGTCACGTGAGGGTCCCTATGAGCGGCCACCAGCCCCGAGGGTCTCGTTGCTTCTCTCCGAGGGTGTCTCAGCTTGTCCCACTGAGTCGTATCTTCTTGTGAGACAGAGTGAGTCACTACTTCTTCCCCAGCGCTCTCCTCATCCAGCTCCCGAGTTTAATTCTAAATCGAACGGCCGCTTCACTCGCAGAACGGGAGTCCCTGCAGCTTTCAGAGGCTGCGAGCTCCAAAGTGCTGCCCCGCGAGAGTGGCCTGGCTGCCGGCCACTCCCGTGGTCCTGTCTTGGCCACACCCGTGGGCTCAGGGGAGTCCAGGCCCACCCGTCCCCCCATTCTTCCCCTACAGTCTCCCTGACAGGAAGCCCGGCGGCCAGGAGCAGGGCCCCTCGGCCGCCCGGGGCCACTCCCGCGGCTTCGTTCCAGCCCTGGCGTCGCTGCTCTCCTCAGGCTGCAGGCCGGGCCGAGCTGTGCCGCGACCAGGCCGCGCTCACTGACTGTGCTTCCCCGGCAGGCCAACCTCACCAAGTCCCAAAATGAATTTAAGATTGTTCTCAAAGAGCTAGAAGATTCTCTCCTGGCCCGTCTGTCGGCCGCATCGGGGAACTTTCTAGGAGACACCGCCTTGGTGGAGAATCTGGAGACCACCAAACACACGGCCAGCGAGATCGAGGAGAAGGTATGACACCAGCCTCCGAGGCTGCACCCGCGAGGCCTGGGCGGAGCACAGGGGGGCGGGTGGCAGGGCCGAGGGGTCCCCTCCAGCGAGCAGGGAGGAGAGGAGCCCGAGGAGGCCCAGGGCGGGGAGGAGCGTGGGTTCCACCCCAAAGCACCTGCTGCCACTACTGTGGCTTCCAAGGGAGCCAGGGGCTTTGGATGGGGCTGGGCCCACCTACACGTGGTATTGTCCACCTGCTGGCTTCACTCGCACCCCTTTTGTTTGTTTTGAGGTACAAGAGGCAAAAATCACAGAAGTTAAAATCAACGAGGCGAGAGAGAGCTATCGCCCTGCCGCAGAGAGGGCGTCCCTGCTGTATTTCATCCTGAACGACCTCAACAAGATCAACCCCATCTACCAGTTCTCTCTCAAGGTGAGGCTGTGGTGGGCCGCGGGGCTGGGCCTGGCGCCCGCAGAGCCGTCGAGCGGTGCCAGGCCGCCACCCTGAGAGGGCAGACGGGGCGAGGGGGCCGGGGCTCCGTACCCGTGCAGCGCCAGCTCCGCCGGGGAGCGCCTGGGCTGGTCCCCGCACCCTGCTCTTCCCCTAGAGACCCCCCACCCACAGTCAAAACAAACTGGAGGCCACCAAGGCTCCACGGCCACCTCCCCAGGCCTTCAACGTGGTGTTCGAGAAAGCCATCCTGAAGACCGCCCCTGCCGACGAGGTGAAGCAGCGTGTGATCAACCTGACAGACGAGATCACCTATTCCGTCTACATGTACACGGCCCGGGGCCTCTTCGAGCGGGACAAGCTCATCTTTCTGGCACAAGTTGCATTCCAGGTAACGTCCAGCCTCGCTACTCAAAGCGTGGTCGGTGGCCCGGCAGCGGCAGCGTCCTCCGGGAGCTTGTCGGAAATGCAGATTCTCAGGCCACAGCGCTGGGGCACCAAACCTGCATTTCAGCAAGACCCCAGGAGAGTTAGAGTTTGAGGTGCCTGACGTGGGACGTGCCTGGGGCTCCCTTAGTCGAGGTCAGGGAAGCAGGCCGGTGGTCCAGGGGGAGCTCTTGCCAGAGGAGGTCAGTTGAGGAGAATTTTACACAGAAATGTCATTTTGTGACATTGTGCTGCTAGAGTCCTGCGTCTGTGCTTAGTCCACAGCGCATGCTGAGTAGTATTTCTTAAGCAATAAACGTATCAATGAACAAATATTCCTCGTTTATACGGTCCTGCTGAAATATTTAAAGAGTTGTGTTCCGTTAAACTGATTAAATAGCCTGTCTTAGCCCATTCTGTGGTGCTGTAACAAAATACCTAAGACCGGGCCATTTATAAGCAGTAGAAATTTATTTCTCACGTTTCTGGAGTCTGGGAAATCCCACGTCAGGGTGCTGGCATCTGGGGTGACAGAGTACAAAAGGGGCCAGACTCCCCCTTGTACGGCAAACCCAGGCCCCAGCCACGGCCTCTACCCTTTCACTCTGCTCTCCCGGCCCCATTGCCGCTCGCTGGGCCACACCTCCCAACACTGCTGCCTTGGGGGGTGAGTTTCCAACACACGCTTTCTGGGGGACACATTCAACCCCCTGCAGTGTTCATGCTGTCATCAGTATGGCTAGAAACACGAATTTTATAGATAGATTAGGCATCAGCGTAAACCTAGCTTTCAATCCAAACTCAAACTTTGGATCGATGGGGCCCAATTTTTTTTTTTTGGAGACAGAATCTCTCCCTGTTGCCCGGGCTAGAGTGAGTGCCGTGGCGTCAGCCTAGCTCACAGCAACCTCAAACTCCTGGGCTCAAGCAATCCTCCTGCCTCAGCCTCCTGCACCACCATGCCCGACTAATTTTTTTTTTCTATTTTTAGTTGCCCAGATAATTTTTTTCTATGTTTAGTAGAGACAGGGTCTTGCTCTTGCTCAGGCTGGTCTCGAACTCCTGACCTCAAGCCATCCTCCCACCTTGGCCTCCCAGGGTGCTAGGATTACAAGTGTGAGCCACCGCACCAGGCCAATGGGGTCCAAATTAAGGAGGTTTCCTTTACCTCTGAATCTTTGGGTCAGAGGACTGTTACGGGTTCTTCTTGCTGCCGAGAGGAGTTCCTCAGTGATCCCCATAATCTTTAGGGCAGAAAGCCTTCTCTTCAGGCCCACAGAACTTTTTGTTTGACCAAAAGAAAGCATCTGACTCAGAACACCGGAGCCTGAAAACAGGGTCTCGGGCACTTGACTGAGGACACAGCAGAGCCCCCCAGCCCACCTGAGACAGGGCACCGTGCTCGCTGCCCAGGGCAGCCGGCCCCGCCCATGGGAGGTCCAGGGAGCCCATGGCACCGTGCTCGCTGCCCAGGGCAGCCGGCCCCGCCCATGGGAGGTCCAGGGAGCCCATGTGCACGGTGACAGATGGCATGGAACATGACCTGGCACTCCCCTCCTGGGTTCATACCCAGAAGACTCGAAACCAGGTGTCCAAACAGATTCTTGCACACGGACACTCACAGCAGTGCTGCTCCCTGCAGCCAGCACAAGCCGACCGTCCACCTGCAGACGGACGGAGGAACACAGGTGGCGTGTCCAGTAAGGGCCTGTTACTCGGCCTGAGAAAGGAACGAAGTTCTGACACACAGATGAGCCTCACGCGCAGTGAGAGAAGCCACATGCAAAAGGCGCACGCTGTATGATCCCACTTGTATGAAACAGCCGGAACGGGCAAATCCAGAGGGACAAGGGAGATTAGTGGTTGCCGGGGGGAGGGGATGGGGAGTGACTGCTTAATGGGGAGGGAGGTCCCTTCTGGAGGAATGAGAAAGTTCCGGGACTCGAGAGAGGTGGTAGTTGCACAACATTGCGAATACATGAAATGCCACTGAATCATACACTTTAACATGGCTAAAGTGGCAAATTATGTGTTAGATGATGTCACCACAATTTAAAAAACACAACGAAGTGAAGACAAAGTTTTGCCCCAACCCAAACGGGCAGGACAGTGCATGGCCTGAGGGCTGGGGGCTCCTCCCGCCAGCCAGCACCGAGTGTGTGGCCTTCGTGTCCCTCAGGTCTTGTCCATGAAGAAGGAGCTGAACCCAGTGGAGCTGGATTTTCTCCTGCGGTTCCCTTTCAAGGCCGGGGTCGTCTCGCCGGTGGACTTCCTGCAGCACCAAGGCTGGGGCGGGATCAAGGTTCGTCTTCACGCTGAACACTGTGTGCTCTCCCCGCGGCGGAGCCTTTCCGGCTAGCGCGGAGGATGTTTACAAGGCCAGATTACAAGGCGCCACAGGCCCGTGAAATTCAGTGAAGCGAGAAGGCCCCAGAGATAGGGATGGCGGCCAGGACGGGCTGCTCTGCTTTCCTGCGTGATTGTGACATCCGCTAGGTCCCCTGCGGCCTGCACACAGCCAGCACAGAGCAGCATCCTCTGGGAGACAGAACAGGCCTGGGGCGTGTCCCTTCCCCACACACCCGACACCCCAGCTCCTCCCGGCTCCCTCTCCCTTCCCTGGGACCCCCTCCTCCCGGGACCAGCCAAGTACAACGTGCTAAGGCTCAGATTGCTGGACACATGCACTCAGGGACCCTCCAGTTTTAGTGGCTCTGTTCAAAAAATCCCTGAAGAGGGTGGTCCCCTGAGATAGGATGGCCCTGTTTCCAGGGACCACTAGAGAAGCAGCCACTAGTCCCTTCAGATGCCTCACAGCTGGGAGGCGAGTTCCTGTCCCTAGATCAAATTCCTCCCAAGGAGGCTCCCAGCCACTGCCTCGGGCTGACCGGAGGTCTGCGAGAACAGCACATGGGCTTTCTCGTCCCAGAGCTCCGCATTCCCCCTGAGGCAATGGCCTCTCCTTACTAAGGAAAGGAATGTTCTGGGGAAGGTGCCCACTGGACCTGGTGGGGAGTGGGCTGCTGCGTCTGTCCCCAGGCCCTCTCGGAGATGGATGAGTTCAAAAACCTGGACAGTGACATTGAAGGATCTGCCAAGCGGTGGAAAAAGCTTGTGGAGTCGGAAGCCCCGGAAAAGGAAATCTTCCCCAAGGAGTGGAAGAACAAGACGGCTCTGCAGAAGCTCTGCATGGTGCGCTGCATGAGGCCGGACCGCATGACCTACGCCGTCAAGTGAGCGCCCCGCCGTGCCCGAGGTCCTGCCCCCAGAAAGGCGAACAGCGCGGGCGGGATGTCGTTAGACACCCGTGGACTTAAGTCAGTCCTCTTAACTCGATTCTTACCCCCGTTCTGCAGAGGAAGGAGACGGGGCTCGGAGAAGCTAAATCATTTGCCCACATGGTTCTTCGGGGACAGAGGTGGGATTCCACCCCTCTGCCGACCCCAGTCCTGATTCTCCTTGACTCTCGGTGTCTCTGAGTGTGGTTAGCAGGTCCCTCGCTCCCCGCCACTAACCCGAGTGAGGGGTACCCGCGACTCACGATAGTAAAACGAGGCTCCCACGTGGCCTCCTAGGTGGAAAGTACAATTTTAAGTGTGGACGCTCAAGTCAACCGTGGCCACACAAGCCAGGTCCTTTTCGGATGTTTTGGGGAGAAAACAATGGCACCACCACCAGCATTCGAGGACTTCCGACCCCTCAAGGGCAAATTCAAAGTTGGTGTCTTATGGGTGTCAATTTTGGCTATTTTGCAAGAGACATGTTCTAATCTCATGAACAATTTCTCCAGACCTAAAACCCCTCGATGTGGGAAGTTTACACGGAAAACAAGCCCAGGGTCCATTCTTGGAGCATCTGCGGGTTGTTTGGCTTCTTTCTGTTTCATTTTTCCTCATAGCCTGAAAGCAGCCAGATTTCCCAAAAGACACCCACGTCCCTGATAGAATTCCCCCCCGACAAAGCAGGGGCCTGACTCACGTCGCACTCATGGGTCACTCAGACTTTTCTGTTTTGGTTTGTTTTCTGCGGATAGAAGAGGGAAGGGATGGGGCGAGGGGCGGGGGGGGCAACGAATGAAACAAGAGGTCACTGTGATGTGACTCAGGAGAGCAGTGCTGGCCCAGGGAGGCACCCCGGACTCGGGGCTGGAAAACAGGTGGGCAACGTTTAGGCAAGGCCAAGGTGAGGGCAATGCACCTGCCTGGGAAAGCTGGCGTGTTTGGGTCGCAAGACTCAAGGGGCATCAGACTCCTCATCTGAAGATGAGATGAGGTGGCCTCCCTGTCTCCTGAGCTAGCATGCGTGATGGCATATTGGTGACCTAAAACAAGGCAACAGCCGCCAACTGCAGAAGCAGCAGGGCACTTTCCAGTGGCACGGCTGATCCCCCATACAGGTGAGCCCAGATCACGTTCCTCGGCTCTGAAATATCTAACATTTCTATGGCACTGAGGAAAGCAGATTTACCACCATAATTACATAGGGAGAGTGTAGCTTAAAAGCTAGGAAATTCAAATAGACAGCAAGTAAGAACAGCAGCTGACACCGACCGAGGGCGCCTCGTGCCGGGCACCATCAAAGCCTCTGCCTGTGTCAGCTCGCGGGCTCCCCCAACAGCCCTGGGAGGCAGGCACCCCCACACCGGCAGCTCACAGGTGCAGGGAGGGGAAGCAGCTCGCCTGCCCAAGGTGGAGGGGTTCGCTGGCAAACTGGCTCTCCAAGAAAAAAAAAAGCCCTAATTCACAGCCAATTTCTGTGGTGTAAATACTCCACCGTGGCCAATTGCAAGCTGCCAGTGGTTTACTGGGAGCCATTGGGAGCCGACCCCAGCGTTCCTCTGCCGAGGACACGCACAGGAGGCGGCGGAGCCTGGCTGGGACCAAGCACACGCTGTTCTGCATCCTTAACTCACCCACAGAGAGTGGCCCTGGCCTGGCCAAGGAATTAGCAAAGGTGATTCTGTTCCGTCCCTGCCCAGGGGCAGGACTTAGGACGTTGTGGAAGTCCCTCAGTGCCTTCCTGGTCAAAGATCACAGCACCCACACGCCGAGTCCACTCCAAAGGCCTGGACTGAACAGAATCGGGGCCTTCAGGAGGAGCAACCCTCTCCTCCTCCCCTGCCGCGAGTCAGCGTTGGTTCGGGAAACCATAGGGAAGCCAGAGAAGGCCGGAACGGGGAAATGAACAGCAGGTAGAGGCGCCCCTCTGCCCCCGCAGAGAGCCCCTCGTTGAGTCAGAGAGGAGCTGGCGCAGGCTGGGCGGCCTGTGAGCGAACGGGTCCATCCGAAAGTCGTCCGGGATGCTCGGGGCACTCAGGTGTTGAGCTGCCTAAGGACGGGCAGCTCTCACCCCCGGGATGTGGTCATTTGTCCTCCTTCCAGAGACCAGGCTGACCGTTAAAAGCTCATGAGTTTTAATTCTCAGGATTCCTTCAGACCATAGTAAGCTCAGCCATTGTGATCACAGGAGACAGGCAGACACCTGAGATCCAAAGACCACCCCGACACGCTAGGTTTCCCAAAAGAGGATTACCCGGGGCCTCGACCGCCCCAGACTCACTGAGGTCAAGACAGAGTTTGGGGCTCGGTACGGAGAGGTGTTTCTGTGGTCTAAAGTTACTTCTTTTTCTTTGATTTTTCTGATTCTCTGTCTTGGGGTCTTTAAGGCCCACCCAAAATGCTCTAATGTGAACTTCCTTCCCTCCTAGCCCCCCTCGCAGTTGGCCCCGTGTGTGGGATTGCAGCCCCGGGGGAGACTCACAGGTGCCCCGACACACAGGCCCCACGCCCCGCCCTCCCGCCAGAGACTCTTCTCTGCTGCAGAGTCCACCAAGAAGGTGGCACTTCTGCCTGGGCCACGGCCCACCTAAGCCCCCGGGCCCTGGTCTGAGCAGCGGTTTCTGTGGCCCTCAGGAATTTTGTGGAGGAGAAGATGGGCAGCAAGTTCGTGGAAGGCCGAAGCGTGGAGTTTTCTAAGTCCTACGAGGAAAGCAGCCCCTCCACACCGATCTTCTTCATCCTCTCCCCGGGGGTGGACCCCTTGAAAGACGTGGAGGCCTTGGGTAAGTGTAGCCTGCGAGCGATGTTCTCAAAAACGGGGCCTGTGTCACATCGCTGGCCACCAGGAAAACGCGAATCCGAACCACAAGGAGACACCGCCTCACACGCCCAGGATGCCAGTTGCCCAAGACAGAGAACAAATGCTGGAGGAGGGGACGGCAACTGCTGCAGCTGCTGGGAAAAACAGTCTGGCAATTTCTCAATAAGTGACACACACAATTACCGTATGACCCCGCAATTCCACTCCTGGCTATACACCCAGCAGAGCTGAAAACAGGTGTTGAGATGTTCTTTCACAACAGCCGAAGGTAGAAACAACCCAAAGTCCCTCAGCGGGGTGAATAAGCACGGGGTGCTAGAGCCATGCCAGGGAAAACCATTCCGCTACAGAAGGAGAAAAGTACTGACACACGCCACAACGTGGGTGGAACGCAGAAGGCGCTAGGGGCAAGCAGCCGGGCGGAAAGGCGCCGTGCTGCGTGACTCCACTTACGTGAAACATCCTCCACGGGTGAATCGTGGAGACGGCAGGGGCTGGGTGAGGGGGGATTGGCAGTGACGGTTTAACGCGCTTGGGGACTCCCTCTGGGGTGATGAAAACGGTCCAGGTGGGTGGCTGCACGACACCGTGAATGCACGAAGCGTCACTGAAGTGTAAACTGTGCGTTACATGTGTTTTACCACCATAAAAGCAAGAGGGGAGGTGTGTGGAATTCCCGGCTGCGGATCACAGAGCCTGAACCTTTGTCATTTAATCATCTCGTGCTTTTCCTGTTTTTCTTTTAGGGAAAAAACTGGGATTTACCATAGATAATGGAAAACTCCATAATGTGTCCCTGGGGCAGGGACAAGAGGTGGTGGCCGAGAACGCTCTGGACGTGGCTGCAGAGAACGGACACTGGGTCATTCTGCAGGTACCAGGCGGCCGGCACCCCGGGTGGCATGGGGGTGGGCTGGAAGGCCCGGAAGGGAGCAGGAGATGGGATCTGCGTTCAAAAATGTGGGGGAAAATCCTCCAGCCCACCGAAGGGGGCACCCCGAGTGTCAGCTCCGCGCAGGTCAGCGGGTGGTGTGGGGCGCCGTGACTGCCCCAGTGAGAGCCCAGACTCTTCAGTGGTGAGAAAGACTCTGGGGTGCATACCAGAGCACCCCTAAAGAGATATCATTTAAAAGACAAATGCTAAGTTGACAAAAGATCCCTCCCCCTCCTCGCTTGGGGCAGGCAGCAAAGGCCATAGCACCCCACAGACACCCCCATGCTTTGGTTAAACTCTGGCAGCCCGGAGCCCCCCCAGACCCCTCCTAGCTGCCGACTTGCCCACGAGGGCCTCCAAGCCTGCCCAGCTGCCACAGGTCCACGAAGTACAGTGACCTCAATCCACAGGGCTTGACCTGGCCCCCATGGAAAGACCAGCTTCAAGGGGAGGGGTGGGAGCCCCACAATCTCAGCCTTCTGCTGGGGAGGACCAGAAGGACTAGCCATAGATCTGGAAGTTTTGAATTCACTGAGCCAAAAATAGATTCTGGTGCCTCAGTTGCTTGGCTGAAAATATCTCAGCATGCCGGGCACCTGCTTAGGGTGGACGGGGTGAGGAGGGGTGGTGCCAGGCACTAGGTGAGTGTGGCTGTTGGCGGGAAGAGCCCTGCCCACGACAGGGGACATGGCCGAGTGGCCCGTCCTTGTGGGCCCAGGGACGTGGGAAGCGTATGGGCAGCTAATGCCTGGTCTCGGCTGCAGAACATCCACCTCGTGGCGCGGTGGCTGAGCACCCTGGACAAGAAAGTGGAGCGCTACAGCACTGGCAGCCACGACGACTACCGCGTGTTCATCAGCGCGGAGCCGGCGCCCAGTCCCGAGTCCCACATCATCCCCCAGGGCATCCTGGAAAACGCCATCAAGATCACCAATGAGCCACCCACGGGCATGTACGCCAACCTGCACAAGGCCCTGGACCTCTTCACCCAGGTAGGGCAGTGCCTGGCGAGGGGCAGCCTAGCACCAGTCCCCACATCCCCTGAGCAGCCCTGGGGCCTCGACAAGAGGAAACAGCTGGGCCTGGGAGCTGAGGACAGGACACTGAGCTCCGGAGACACCACCCCCAGCACACTCAGGCTCACACACCCCCCTCACACAGCAAAATCAATACATTCCCAAAAGACTATAAAATGCAGATAATTTAAAGAGCTATGGCACTGCTCATTACTTAAAGCTTTATAAGCAGAAACACAGAGTTTTTAATCAGTTTCATGAACCTGCAAATCGGCACCAGTAAGTGCTGTTCACCACGTTTGAAGATGAACTAGTCATTACTGGCTCCTTGGAAGTGGGACCAGGCTCCCCCCAGTGGGCCCCTGAAGGTCAGTCGGCTTTCCTGGGGCCCCAGCACTCCCTGACCCCTCCTGGCAGCCCTGTAGTCTGGTGCTGGTCCAAAGGCCGACTGCAGACGGACGGGCCACAGCGCCCCACTGCTGGAGGCGACGGGTGACGATGGTGAGGCCGCCTCCGCTGGGGCTCGGGGCTCTGGTTCCAGGACCCGGCTTCCTTGTCGTCAGCCCCTGCCCTGACCCGCCGTCAGCAGGAACACCGCCAAACAGCTGGCCGGGCGAGCCTGGTCCTCCGCCAGCAACTGCAGCGGCTTCTTGCTGCCTCCAGGATGGAGGGTGGAGGTCTCGAGGACCCGGGCAGCAGGGCACCCGCTGGCTGGGTCTCCTCCACGCCCATCTCTGCCTGGACCCTGTCTCCCCCGACTCTTCCCTGCAACCCAAACCTCACAATCCTCAGGGCTTCGCCAGAACGCCACCCTCTCCAGCCTCCCTGGCGTTCTCGCCTGCGGGAGCGGCTCCGTCTGCGCAGCTCAGCATCCGAATTTACTCTTCGGGGGCCTCGTTTCTGCTCCGGACGAGAACTTTCTGTGTGCACACACTGGGTCTCCCAGCTGGAGCCCATAACCTTGAGGTTTTGAAACGCCGAGTTCTCCTACGACACCTCACAAAGCCTGCTCGGGGAGCACATTGTTCCGTGAACGCACGACTTCTATATCTGACTCAGTGTTTAAAAAACCACTCATATGAAATATCTGAGATATCAACTAACGATTCTCAACCGGCTTCTAAAGGACACACCGCTGTCTAGGTGTGAAAGTAAGAGGGAACTGAAAGCAGAAAACAAATGTTTAAAATGGGTCAGTTGTTCCTTTAACCAAACAATCGCTACCGAGCGTCTCACACGCGCTGGAAGGGCAGGGGATACACGGTGACCCACGACCGGGGCTGCTGAGGGGCACGGACACGGCCCCGGGTGTGGGAGCCCGCTCTGACAAATGCCGTGGGACGCACTCGGTGCTGTGGGGCCACGCCGCTCACGCCCGGCCAGGGGTCAGTGCCAGCGGGAGAAGGGTTTGCTGCCCGTCTGTGATGAGACCAGTACAGGAATTGAGAGGAGGCATTTAGCAGACTCTGTAGCATGTGGCATTGCTGCGAATCCAAGCACACGATCTGCTTTTCCTTCAGTATTTCGTGTTTATTGTAGTTTGCAAAAGTCTCAGTGACAGATGGGTGGGGCACAGCAGGAGGCCTCGGGGCCAGCTGGAGCCCTGTGACAGCCAGCACTTAGGAGGACGCCTCGTCCAGGCTCCGGCTGAGACCTGCGGTGCGCCAGGTGAAGAGGATGGCTGGGCCGTAGGACAGAGGGAACGGAAGCTGCAGGCGCCTAGGGCAGCAGAGAAATATAAGAAATAATGTTCCTTGTGATTACCACATTCCTCACCGGCTGACACAAACGCATCCCAAACTCTCTTAACTGGTGAAGGCTTCTTATGAGCGGGGGCGGGGAGCGGGGGCTTAGCAAACCCTTTCTTTTTCATGGCTCCGGTATTTGGGAGGATCTTATTAGATTTTGTTAGGAAGCAGTATCAATAATTCTACTTGTAACAAATACTTAACAGTGACAAAACTGCATTTCTGAAAGATACACGAAAAAGAAACGGCTCTCTACCTCAGCCTTTGCAGGAGAGACCAGCTCAGATCACACCAGTGTCCGCCACCCGCAAAGCAGCTGGCAAAGATGGGGCTCTGGTCCCACCTGGGGGCATTTCTGTGCGCGAGCCTCCCCTCCCGCTCCCGCAAACCTGACGGAACGTGTCGCGCTCCCGCAGGACACCCTGGAGATGTGCACCAAAGAGGTCGAGTTCAAGTGCATCCTCTTCGCCCTGTGCTACTTCCACGCCGTGGTGGCCGAGAGGCGCAAGTTTGGCGCCCAGGGCTGGAACCGCTCATACCCCTTCAACAACGGGGACCTGACCATCTCCATCAACGTGCTCTACAATTACCTGGAGGCCAACCCCAAGGTAAGGGGTTGCGTGTCCCCCAAATCAGTGCCCCCCAGTAGGGCCCCCTGCTTGGACATAATCCCTCTTTCTTTCTGTCCATCCTTCCGCTCCCTCCCTCTTTTTTTGTCTTATGTTTACAAGATGTTAAGTAGGTTTCATAAACCAAAGAAAATCTGAAGAACAGTATCGTCTGTGATCTTCACAACTGACATAGCAATTATCATCCGTCCTTTGCCCCCACCTCCTGCAGTCACCGGCTGTCTGCGGTATTTCCGCGTGTTAGCGCCCTCCATGGGGGCAGCTCGCACCACTCCTGGTGGCAGGACAAGGGGGGCTTCCTGGGCTGTGGGCCTGGCCAAGGTCTGGAGCCAGAGGTTTAGGACGGGAGGGGCCCGCCTCAGGAACCCTCCTGTTTCCCACCCTCATAATAAAGTTCAAGATCGGCAGGCGGCAGCGAGGAAAGGCGGACGCCAGCCCAGCCTGAGAAGGTCCACAGGGCTGACGGATGAGGACAAGCACCCTCCCGGCCCAGGAGGCCGCAACAGAGCTTCCCTCCCAGGAGCGCAGTCAGCAACGTCCGGGGCTGGAACGTCGTTTGCCTAGTTCCCTGGTGAAGCACCTAGCCTTGGATAAGCCGGGCCTGGGGTCAGCTCCCTGTGCTCCCATGAGGTGGGCCACCATGGTCCCGTGGGCGCTAAGGGGAGAGGGAAAGGCAGTCTCCATTTATCAGGCGACGGGGCAGTGTGCTGGCGGTACGTTTTACCCAAAACAAGGTCCGTATCTCACAATACGCACAAATCACACAAGAAGATGCTGAAAAGGACTTTTCGTCATCACTGTTAGCGTGGTCCCTCCGGGGCCAGGAGCGTGGGGGAAATAGTCTCACTAGAATTTCTTCAAGATACTCCCTTAGCCATTTTCCCCACGTGTCCACAGATACAGGCCCTAAGCTGGCTGAGACACCGCGTGAGCGTGAACATGGTGTGCGCCCTGACAACAGGGCCCACGATGGCCGAACCTTCCTCCGTCCGGGCTCACGTCCTCTCCCCTCTGCGACTCCCCGCCGGCTCCCTGCACGCTCCCTTCATGGCACGGATCGCACCCGACGCCGAGTAACCGCCTATGGAGATGCCGGCCGTGGCCGTGGCCGTGGCCCGTTCAGTCCTCCTGGCTCTGAGGACGTAGATCAGGGCTTCCCACACGGCCAGAGAGAAATCGGCTGGAGTGTGGGTTAAAAACACACACGACCTGCAACCTGCGCGGGCTTTCCCAGGGAGAGGCCTGGAGAGCTCTGCCTCCGACAAGAGTCTCTGGGGGATTCTAACCAGCAGATGTGGGAAACTCAGAGGGCGTCCCTCCCGGGCCTCTTCGGGAAAGGACCCTCCCTGGGAGGCAGCCCGTGGGGGCCGGGAGGCGGAGTGGGGTGTGTGCTCCTCCCTGCCTCCCAGGAGAAACAAGCTGCCTCTAGGCAGCTGAGCACACCCGCAAGATAGGCAGAGGAAAATATTTTTTTAAGTCACAAAATGAGAATTTAGAGAATATCAATGTTCTAAGTAAAAATTCATGAGACTAAACCAGACAATTGATTAATCTAGTTCTTATTCAATTAATTTTAATTCAACGGTATTTGATAAACAGCTCTTTTGGGCAGGACACTGCGGAAGTCCCAACGTTGCGTAAATGCCCACCTCACCCTTAGGGAGCCGCAATCCTGGGGAAACACGTGTGCGAATGCGGGGACAGGCCCACCGCAAACGGCATGGTCCCACGCGGCACCGCCAGTGCCGCGGCTGCCCACCAGTCGCACAGAGTGAGGGGCTGCGTGTGCAAGCACACACAGCACTTCAAAAGCTTGGTACTGAGAAAAGAATGTCAAGTATCTTATTAATAATTTTGCTACAGATTACATATGGGAATGATCTTACTTTTCTTAAGTGGCCACTAGAAAGTTTAGAATCTCATACATGGCTCCCACTCTGTGGCTCCCGCTGCACTTCCATTGGACGGCGCCGTGTGGGGGAACAAGCTACGCTCCGGGATGCGTGGAGGCTGGAAGCAGAGTCCCTGGCTTCCTGGAGGCGGCCGCACAGGCGCCCGGCTCTGAAGGATGAGGAGCAGAAGCTGAGGTGCCAGGGAACGGCAAGGAAGTGCGGGGACAGCAGGAATAGCCAGAGGGCAGGATGAGTAGAGGCACACGGCAAGAGGTGAAGCCAGAGAGGCTGCCTGGCCTGGTGGTGAGAGTGTGTTTGTGCACACGGCCGAGTTTGGTCTTTGTTCCAAGCCATCTGTGCGACTGCAGAGACCTCCGAGGCACAGGAGCTACCTGGAGTGATGTGATTTGCACGGAACAGCAAAGACAGGACAATTTCAAGGGGATCAGAGGAAGACCCACTTGAAGCATTTGTAAGACTTGACTAACCGGACTTCACGGCCAAAAAGATACACGGTGAGGCCGGGCGCGGTGGCTCATGCCTGTAATCCTAGCACTTTGGGAGGCTGAGGTGGGCGGATTGTTTGAGCTCAGGAGTTCGAAACTAGCCTGAGCAAGAGCGAGACCCCGTCTCTACTAAAAATAGAAAGAAATTAATTGGACAACTAAAAATATATAGAAAAAATTAGCCGGGCATGGTGGTGCATGCCTGTAGTCCCAGCTACCTGGGAGGCTGAGGCAGGAGGATCGCTTGAGCCCAGGAGTTTGAGGTTGCTGTGAGCTAGGCTGACGCCACGGCATTCACTCTAGCCCGGGCAAAAAGAGTGAGACTCTGTCTCAAAAAAAAAAAAAAAAAAAGATACACAGTGCCCGAGTCAACACTCGCCACCCGGAATTCAGCTGCTCTTGTTGAAAGCAGACGTGAAGGGGCAGTCAGGGACTGTAGCAGGGAGAGGCGGGGGAGTGAGCGCTGACCAGGCCAGGGCGTCTGCCGCACCAGCACAAGAGCCCTGGCGCCACCGCGAAGGCAGACTGCAGAGAGAGAGCGGGGGTGGGAGCTCAGTCCCAGACAGAGGGAGAAGCTGCACCGCCTTCGTGAGAGGAGCCCGGGGAGAGCGCGGCAGAGGCGCTGGCCAGCTGAGTCAGGCACCGAGATGGGACGGGCGCCGGATGGGGAGAGGGGCGGCCCTTGGACCTGCTGGTCCCGAACAGCCTGGCGGGAGGGGAAGCAGCAGCAGGCGGCTCGGCTGGTAGCCTAGCTGGCCCTTGAGCGCCGGGCCGACCACCTGAGCCTGGCAGGGGGGACCTTCCCCTGTGTCCATCTTTCCCAAAGGTGCCCTGGGACGATCTCCGCTACCTTTTTGGTGAAATCATGTACGGCGGCCACATCACGGACGACTGGGACCGCCGGCTGTGCAGGACCTACCTGGCCGAGTACATCCGCGCAGAGATGCTGGAGGGAGAGGTCCTCCTGGCCCCCGGGTTCCAGATCCCCCCCAACCTGGACTACAAGGTGAGGACGACGCGTTGCGCATGAGCTCACTCTGACGCAACGGCATCGAAGGTTAATGCGCGCTGGCTGGCTCCCGCTCAGGAGTATCAATAATTGAGCAAGAACCCAGACAGCCAACATAAGCGAGGACGAGAAATGCAGCCTCTGGGAAGGGGGAGTGGAAATTTCCTTCCTGCGGCTGGGGAGCAAAGGGGGCAGGCCACGAACGGGTCGGGGAACGAGAGGGGTCTGCACAGCCTGGCCCTGCAGCCTGCTTACGCACCGCCCCTTTCCAGGGTTACCACGAATACATCGACGAGAACCTCCCCCCCGAGAGTCCCTATCTGTATGGCCTACACCCCAACGCAGAGATTGGCTTTTTGACGGTCACCTCAGAGAAGCTGTTCCGCACTGTCCTGGAAATGCAGCCCAAAGAGACCGACTCGGGAGCAGGCACAGGAGTATCTCGAGAGGAGAAGGCAGGATCCTTAGTACCCATTCCCGAGCGACAGAGGAAGGGGGGGGGGTCCTCCTGGTCCGACTGGGGGCTGGGGGGGGTCCCCAGAGGGCAGCCCCAACTGGCAGCAGTGGGAGCTTGTTAGCAAGGCCGCGGGGATCAGAAACTCAGCCGCAGGGGCTGCGGGCTCAGCGAGTGCGGCCCAGAGAGAGGGGATCCTCGCCCCCCCCCCCCCCCCCCCTGCAGTCCGCCAGCTTCCCCAGCCGAGCGTTTGCAACCTCGCCCTGCCTGCACGAGAGCCGCAGTGTGGCCCGTACAGGACAGTCTGGCGCGTGAGAGCAGCCCTTCCGGAAGAGCTTAGCGACCACAACGGGCAGGTCCTGTTGACACTCAGAGAATTAGACCAGCTCAGAGGATGCAGGCGCACAGAACAAACTCTCACTCGTCTGAGCTGCCTCTGTGCCGTCTCATGTGCACCTCTGCACTTAACATATTCTGGAACAGTTCTAGTACGTATTACCCACGTTATCGGGCTTCACAGCAACTAGACCAAATTCCTGAGGTAAGACCCTTACCGCTATGAGGCCCAGGACCTTCTTTTGGTCTAATGATTGAAATTAGAAATCAACTGATGGATGGTGGTGCAGGCGACCCCCGTGTGGCCGCTCCTTGAGAGGGAGAGACCAGCACGGTCCCTAGAGACAGCCCACTAGGCGGACAGACTGCCAGTCCCATTCACCCGCTGGGTGACTCTCACGGCGGGAAGAAAGCCAGTGCACTGGGAACGTCTGGGAGGCATGGGGCCGCCTGGCCTGACCTGCGCACGGCCACGGCCACGGGCCTTGCTAGTGGCACCAGAGCAGCCAAAGCCTGCGGGCCGAGGCTCCCTGCCCCCGTCAACGGTGTGGCTGTGCCGTGACCCCGCCTCTCCGGCAAGTCCACGTGCCTCTCCCCTTCCCGAGGACTCGGGCTTGTGAACGTTTATTTTGACCCTGTCGTTTGTGGGGAGGGCTCTCTGCTTTGGTGACAATGCGGTGACGGGGACTGACTTCCAGGTGAAGGCTGTGCTGGACGAAATCCTCGAGAAGATCCCGGAGACGTTCAACATGGCCGAGATCATGGCAAAGGCCGCTGAAAAGACCCCCTACGTGGTGGTCGCTTTTCAAGAATGTGAAAGGATGAACATCCTGACCAACGAAATGCGTCGTTCACTAAAGGAGCTGAACCTCGGGCTGAAGGTAAACAGAACGTGGGTCTGCCGGGCCCCTAAGGACGCGGCCTGGTTGCAAAACCAGCGGTAAACCCAGGCCTGGGGGAGCCTGGGGGAGCCTGGGCCCTGGGCCAGCATGTTATCACTCCCCTCCCCTCCCAGGCTGGAGTTCTAGGCGCTCTAGAACAAGCCACGGCAGGTGTCCAGACTGCTCCCTAGCAGGAAACGCCAGCGTGGCCCTGACACAGGGTGTCTCTAGCGGCACCGCACAAAGCCACACTGTGCTGACAACTCACAGAACACGCTGGGGCCTGTGCTCTCCCATCCTCCCGAGAGCGGGCAAGCGAGGCTCAGCCTGGGTTCTCCTGCACCCATGTATTCCTCAGGGGGAACTGACCATCACCACCGACATGGAAGACCTGTCCACGGCTCTCTTTTACGACACCGTGCCGGACACATGGGTGGCCCGGGCCTACCCCTCCATGATGGGCCTGGCGGCCTGGTACGCCGACCTGCTGCTCCGCGTCAGGGTGAGCACTGCTTCCTCTCAGCCGCTACCTGACCGGGGACCCAAACGCCCAGGCTCCGCGCCCCCCACCCCCAGAGCCTGCAGGAGCATGGCTGTGACCGACGCTGTGGACTGGCCTCTGGCCCCGTCCACACCACTCAGACGCTCTGACGCAGGCCTTTCCTCCTAAAGGAGGACAGGCACGTCTGCCATGAGCACGGCGTCCATCAGCTCTCCCTCGAGTGAAACGTTCAGGGTGAGCCACCCTCCACGAGGAGTGAGGTGACAAAGGCAAGAGCCTTTCTTGGGATCCTAAATTATCCTCAAGCGCTAAGCCCTTCCCCCCATTCCATTGCTGAGAATGGAGCCAGACCGCCAAGCTCGTCACAGGACGGCAGCGGGCTTCCCGATGGCTCTGCCGAGGCCCGGCGAGGCTCTGGGCTACCGCTGCTCAGCACCCTCCCTCTCCTCCCAGGAACTCGAGGCCTGGACGACAGACTTCGCCCTGCCTACCACCGTGTGGCTGGCTGGGTTCTTCAACCCCCAGTCCTTCCTCACGGCCATCATGCAGTCCATGGCCAGGAAGAACGAGTGGCCCCTGGACAAGATGTGTCTGTCTGTGGAAGTGACCAAGAAAAATCGGGAGGACATGACTGCTCCCCCCCGCGAGGGATCCTACGTGTATGGGCTCTTCATGGAAGGTAAGGAAGAAGCTTCTAGAGCCGCAGGAGGAGATCAAACTAGCTCTTGGCAAAGACAGGCGGTGAGTGAGAGTCTCTCAGCCATGCTGACCAGTAGCGGGGGCTGAGAGGATTCCCAGACTCTGCAGCAGTCTGGTGGAGACCAAACCCCCACCCCAGTCCCATGGCCTGTGCTTACGGGGAAGGCTTACGCCATTTATAGGCAATGAGAAACTCGGTCCTTCCGTCCTTGGAGCAGGGAGCCCAGAATAGATGGGCTTTCCACGGGTGAGCCGAGGGCACATCAGCGCCTCTGGAGCCCATCTGCAGGGCCAGGACCCCACAGCAGGAGGGAAGAGAGGGACTAGGATGCCTATTAGTATTTGCCCCCGTATCACCCTGTCCTGCTACCCAGAGGCAGCCAATGGGGCAGGCCATTTCCTCCCCCGCAACAACTGACGTCACCCTTCAATGACTGACGTTATCTGTGGGGTGCCAGGCCCACAAAGGCTCAGGTACGTCCAGGTACGTCCTTTCCCCCATCACCAAAGACAAACACAGCAGCCGCCACTCTCCATGTTTATTCTGGAATTACAGACAGGAAACATAAACATCATTAAATAGAGAGTAGAAATAAGCTGGTTAAAAGTGAGTAATACATATGCATATATGTATAATTAGCTATACTGTACACACAGGATGGGCGTTACACATGAAGGGAGCCAGGGACTCGAAGCTCTAATTTTCAAGGGGAGTTATGATTTCCTGCCACTGCAATTAAGAAGGCTCCAGATGAGGCTCTGAAAACACCACAGATTTAAAGGGATGGAACCCAAGAGCTTGAGTGCTGAGCTGTTCCTCAGTGTACAGCGAGACACACGGGCAGTTACAACATGCACATAATTACCTATGACGTCCTCTGCTCACAACTCCATGTGCAGCAAATTCCACGCCAGACCAGCCCTGGCACCTGGCCTGAGCTCTGGGGGGCAGAGCCCATCTCTGCAAAGGGCGGGGAGGTTCAAGGGCCCTTCCAGCCCCTCCTCTCACTTGTTGGCAGCATACTAGACAGGACACGGTCACCTCCCCAGGACCACCTGACCCTCAGCCGTGCTATCCCCGCAGGAGCTCGCTGGGACACCCAGACCGGAGTCATCGCCGAATCACGGCTGAAGGAACTGACGCCGGCCATGCCTGTCATCTTCATCAAGGCCATTCCTGTGGACCGCATGGACACCAAGAACATATATGAGTGTCCCGTATATAAAACACGCATCCGTGGCCCCACCTACGTCTGGACCTTTAACCTGAAGACCAAGGAGAAGGCAGCGAAGTGGATCCTGGCAGCCGTGGCGCTGCTCTTGCAGGTTTAGCGCGACCCCAGGCCCACGCTCTCGGGGCAGATCAGCAGCCCAACCACAACTCAGACTGTCCAACAGAAACCCAGCCCTGCAACCGCTCCTTAGTTTGGTTGTTTTCTGTTCTCTATTAAATAATCAAGGTGCTTTATGCCCACGTGCATCTGGACGAACGGGGGTGGAGGTTAGCGTGGACAAGGCGGCACAGATTAAAACTAGTGGAGCCACTTCGCTGCTCATCTGACGGACCTGTCCCGGCCTTCAGTTCATGCCTGAGAGTCGCCAAGGGGCCCGGCTTGGGGCGAGGCTTCAGTTCCCAGCAACAAGAATCCCAGGAACCCAATCCCTGCAGGGGACCAGTCAGGATTATTTTTTAATACAAGCAGCATGTGGCAGTCACACCATGGGGCCTGATGCTACATGCAGATGACCCACCAGTAAGGGGACAGGCGTTCCCTCAAACAGGAGCTACCACCTCCACACAGTGTCTCCTCAGGCAATGTTCCCTTCTCTCAAGGACAAGAAGAGCCTTTGCAATTATGGCGTACCTGCCCCACCCCCACCCCCAGAATCTGGAAGAACAAACTATCCCACACAGGTGCCGGCTCCACGTAGCTGAAGCACCTCCTAATCACTGGGCACTCAGGGACTACCTTAAACACACGCTTGGGTCCTGGGAGGTCACTGGTTATTACGTCCCCTCCCCCCACTTCCCGCCCAACTTGCAGGCTGGGTGAGCCAGGGCTGTGCAGAGCCGCGCCTGTGACAGCCGTAAGGCTCGGGGTTCGGGACGGCTGTTTGGGCTGCGCAGTGGCAGTTTCCACCCAGTTCCAGGCACAGGCTGAGACCAAGGACGGGTGAGGCTCCTCCACATCTGTGGTACAGGCGTCTATCGAACCACCATAAAAAAAAAAACCACCACCCTCAACCTGCCCGGAGGGAGGGCTCAGGAAACAACTGTGCCCTGACTCAGAAAGGCGCGCACAAACACACATGAACTTCTGCCCAAAGGCAGCAGTCCCTCTGCCCCCGGGAAATGGGCAGCTGCTGGTGGTACTGGTCAAAGCGCTGCCCTGAGACCTGGCTTACACCTCAGGCCCCACTGTTCTAGCTGCACAGGGAAAGATTTCAGCAGCAGGAGAAAGTAAACGCCAGACCTTTAGGACTCTGAGGAGAGATGAGTGACTGAGGTGTGGGGGGTGGGACAGCTCATAAGCCTACAGACTCCAGAAAAGATGGACCCCGGGGGACTGTGACCTGAAACTTCCAATGTTTCTTAGGCTTGAAAGCGAAGAAAAGGGAACCCTCTAGGGATATCATTCTGAAGTTTGGTGAAAACATTTTTCCAAGTATACTCACCCAAACCATGGGTGAAGAGGTCCAGGAAGCCGGTTGTAACAATTCACAGCAATCCTAGGGCCTAGTGGGGCTACCAGAGGGAGAAGGAAAACACCCCTCAAACCCTCCCTTCTTGGGGCCCGGGGAATCCAGCCCCTTGGGGCGGTGGCACAGGAGGCGGCTGGAGCCAAGCGGCCTGGCTGCTGGGCAACTACCTCTGCTGGCCAGGAGGGGTCGCTGCAGCCCTTCTCGCCCAGGCCAGGGGGACAGGCCACTCCTGACCAGAGGAGATGAAACTGCAGTGGCCACCAAGCAACTCGTTCCAATCCCTGGTAATAACCACGAAATGTGAAGTTTTCCAATTTTGCCTTTAGATCCTGAAATAAAACAGTAATTTATTCCACACGTACATATTGTGGGTAGTTGACAAAATTATCTCCAAACTTTCCAAGAGATGATTCACCCTTGGGTTGCACTCCAGTGTCGGAGAAAGCAGGGATTGGAACAAAAGCCCCACAGCGGGGAGAAGTGGGCTCCCCCACCCCGCGTCCGGCTTGTCTCTGCTTCCCCAGGCTGCTGTGTGGAGTTGGGGAGAGCACCTGCCCAGGACAGCCTCGAAGGTCGTTAGGAAAGACAAAGGGAGCGGTGGGGCGCGGAGGGCACGACAGCAGACTGCTCGAGCCTGGCGGTGGCACACTGATGTTTACTCTGGTCCACAGCATCTGCAGGAATGTGAGCTGTTTACCGAAAGCCTCTCTCCAAACAGAATCTCAGTGGCCCAGCACGTTCCTTTGGCTCCTCCACTCTAACTGTCCCGCAGGACAATTTAATAACTGGTTTGAAGGCAAACAGTGTTGGCCGATGTGCTGCTACCCCAGGGCAGTATGGCCACAGCCACTGCTACACCCTATTCCCAACCACTTAAACCCGTAGGTCTGCCAGGGGGTGCCCGGGGGTCTGCAGCTGTCCTTGTCTAAGACTAGGGCGCTCCCAGCACTGAGCCCCAGGTGCAGAGCAAGGCCCGCCGGCTCGGCCTTTCAGGCCCCATGAAAGGTAACAGCAGCTGCTGCTACCAGCCCTTGGGAGGGAAAGGTGAGCAGCTGCTTCCAGAGACAAAGTGCAGGGACAGAACCCGATCTTACTCCCCTGAAGGACGGGCTGCCGTGCCCTGGAGTCCGAGAGGCTTCTCTGTCGAAAGGCCTTTCTCTGCAGAGGCGTCAAGCACCTACAGAGAGACTGGGCACTGGGGTTTGAATCGGCTCCTGGAGACACTGGTGGGGAAGGGGCTGGCTTTTTTTTTT